AGATTAAATAGAAGAAAATACAAAACATTAAACATGTTAACAACACAAAAGCCATATTAAACACAGACTACTTTAGGCCCCGAAGTAGGATTCGTCACGTCATCACTTAACGACCGGAGAGTTAAGCGTGTACCCACAACATGTATATACAGTTATGTATATACACTTATGTTTATACCCTAATGAGATAACATCTTATTTTCAGGTCTTTGCAGTAGTTAATAGCGATTAACTAATAGCTAATAACTAAAACCCCCCCCACATAATTCCTTATAAATTATATGTACATAACACTACATAAGTCTTAAAGATCATAAACAGTAACACTTATTAACACTTTATAACTGTGTAGGAATGTCACTAAAAGCCTTGACCTTCCTCTAATTGTTTATGAGACCAATGCAATTGCACTTTTTGAGTTTAACCAGTGGCTCATATTAAATTGAATAAGCATTTAGTTTTGCTTTATTAAGACTGATACTATTGACTTTATAAAAAAAATCTAATCTGCATTGGTTTCCTCAGGATCTTAGGGTCTTAATTATTATATATTAATTAACAGTTAATGGTGGTTTATTCCCTGACCCCCGGAAAGAAATGGCATGGACCCTTGATTGTTGTCAAGGTAGATAAAATGTAAAATTATATGCCTTAATAAACATCTTTACAGCCTCATATGGATCGTATTACCTATTAACTGAAGCTCATTACATAAACCTAAATATGCAGTGTTACCTGGTGAATTATGCATGCTCATATTATTCTGTGTTTGACAGTGTCACAGTATGTGGGAACGTCTTTGGATATTGCTGGCATACTTAATACATATGCATATGTGTGAGTGTGTGGGTGTGTGTGTACCCACAGTGTGCGGAGGCCACTGAGTCCCTTCAGCATGCGGTGGTGTATGTTCTCCAGTCTGTTGGAGGTCAGAATCAGCTCATTGACCCCTGAAGCTCCTTCAAACGTTCCCTCCTCTATGTCAGTGATACGGTTATTACTCAGGTTACTACACAGAGTGGGAAACAGGAGGAAGGAAAGTAAGAGAGCAGCAAGAAAAGAGAGATGTAAAGAGGGGGTGGGAGGAGGGGGTGGGGGGTTACGTGTATAGAGAGAAACACACACAGTTCATTTTAATTTCTATATCCGCATCTATCGCAGTTTTCCTCTGTGTGACCCGAGTGTGACTTCCTGACGTTACGTCCTTGTTACGTTAAAGACATGTCTGACTCACATCTTCCTCAGCTGAGGCAGCTTTTTGAAGATCCCCGTCGCCTCGAGCACACTGAATTCATTGTTGTTCAGACGCCTGAGAACAGAGCAAAGTAAAGGTGGTTAGAAACAAAGAGAAAGAGGCTCTGAGGTTTCTTCTATCTCACACATAGATGCACTTTGTAGCAGACAAACACGGCGTGACTCACAGCTCGGTGGTGTATTGAGGAATGTGATCAGGTATTTTGGTGAGTTTCTGGTTGGAGCAGTCGACGGTGGTGCCCTCGCAGCGACACTTTTCAGGGCAGGCCAGGTCTGCGAAGCAGTCGCCTCCTAGCTTACTACGGTAATCCTCGTTACCTGGTCACAATCATAACCGCAGTGTCACTAAATGTGCAAGAGTCAAACCCCAGCATTTACTGGCACGGGTCCCGATAGAAACACCAGCATAATAGCAGAATTTAGAGACACTGCTCAAGGGCTGTGCTGCTTTTTTTTTTTTTGTTCGTCATAGGAAAAGAAAGCTGATCACAATCATTTGCAACAATCCCCATAAGCTTTGGCTCAAAATGCTGCATTGTGCTTCGCAGCCTTAAAGGAATCAAAATAACAGGAAGCTACACAGACTGTGAAGATCAAGACAGACACACACAGACGCACATGCACTCACACGAGAACAAAGATATTGGAGGTTTTCTGCCCTGTCAGACTACAAACAAGCTGAGATCTCACCAGAAAAATGCTCATGCACATACAGGTAGTCATCTATCATACTGTGCAGACACTGAGGCTCTAACTCAAGCTCACACACATGCACACACACACACACTCTTGCAGGGAGTGACAGGAGTTTGCTGTCTCTTGCGCCATGCTGTAGGGTTTTGCAGGGCCGTTCCATGGTGCTTGAAAGAACCATGTTCCACGATAGGAACCTGGCAGCCACATGGTTAGATCAAGCACAAAGGAACAACCTGCTGACTGACTGCTCCTCCGCTGGAACACAGGGGTGGGAAGGACAGAGGAGACAGGAGGAGGAGGAAGAGCAAAGGGAGGAAAGGAGCTGAGGGGAGAATGAACGTGAAAAGAGGCATAGGAGAGGAAGTGGGAGGAGAAAGGAGGAGAGAAGAACGAAGAAGCCACCTGATACTGGAAATGTGTAATTTGCAGCGAATAGAGAGGACAGAGAGGAAAAATGATAAGAAGGAGGATATCAGACAAGGTGTTCAAAAAGTTGCAGGAATAGAGGGAAAAGGCTCGAGGAACATCTACAGACATCTACATCACAGAAAGCAGAGCAGGAACAGGGCAGCTGTTACGGAGGAGTGGGAGGAGAGTTACAGCAGCACTGAATGCAAGAGAAGCCCTGACTTCTGGGTAATACACACACAGACACACACACACACACACACACACACACTCCAACACACCCCATAGGTACATAAACAAGATAAAAACACATGAACCATTGTGCGCTAAAGTGTAAATTGTAATTATTATTCTCGTCGCATTGTTGTTGATGGTGAACAACAAGACAAGAGGAGTCACAGAAGGGTCATTGCAGTTGAGGTCAAAGGTCAGATGCCGGTCAGGGACGAGAGGTGAGGGATTCAGAGCGGACGAAGAACCTTGTGCGTTTGTGTGTGTGTGGGGGGGTGTGTGTTACTTACAGCTGACATGGTGTACTCCTTAGTGTGTTAGAAAGGCAGTAGGAGAAAGAAGAAGGGATTTCACTCGTTTATTTGAACAGGAAGGGAAAAAGCTGATGAAAAACTGAGTGCAAATAAAAAAAGCTGCAATTTGTGCTGCAGTCCGTGTTCAGACCCCAGGCAGTGATTCATTTAAAGGACTAATGACTCGTGAATAGCGAGAATCGTGCTGGCGTGACGTGACACTGAACGGGTACATTTATCGACACACGTCCCGGCCTCTTCCAGTCGAAGCACGGCGCGATTTAAACCTATTCTGGGGAGACTGTGAGGCAAAAAGCATACATACACAGATAAAAGAGCCTCATTTGCAACAACAGAAAAATGAGGTAGGATCTGAAATAAGACAACAGCGCAAATGCAAATGAGAGGATTTTAGGTGTATTGATCTTAGCCGCAATATGAAGGTTGGACCGCAGAATAAAACATGTTTATTCAACTTTTCAACCGAAAATGTTCTTAAATTATTCAGCTTTGCCCCGTATGTGGTATCTGGGCTTTGAAACCTCTGTCCCCCCGGTGAGCTACAGAGTTAATGACTGCAGTGAGTGCGCGCATACACACACACGCTTGCGCGCACGCTCTCTCATGCAACACACTTCGTGGCCCCTCTGTGCGCTGCTGTGGTAATGACCGCCTTTAGCCCTGCTACTGATCTCATATGCATGTCTCATTTACATATTTCCCAGCACCCCTCTGAGCATGATGACTGTGTGACCTTTTGATGTTCTGCAGCGAAAAAAACAAACGCAGATGCTCACAGACACACGGTCATACATTAGCTGTCATTAGATGTGCTAAGAAGCAAGAAGGACTGGCATTAAATATAGTCTCTGTGATCGCTGCACCAGGGTACTTTCATTTAGCCAGCCAGACAGAGCCCAGCTGACAGCGACCCAAGCTTGTTAATCCAACTGTTTTTCCTCCCTCGATCATCAAGGTTGCGTTAACCATCGAAAACCCAGTGCAAGGACAAGAGTGTGATTATCTGGTGTCTGGTTAGACGCGGTGCATCATAATGCATGACAGACCATTAGCAGAACATGTTTTGGCATTGAATAGGTGTCGGACGGGGCAAGTCACTCAAAGCGTCGAGGATGTGCGAGTGTGAAGCATCAGCTGTGAGTGAGCAAACAGTGGTTTATACACACACACACATACACACACTCATGCTCATTGTACAATACCTGGGATGAAATACTGTTCTCTAGCTAATAGAGAGACAGAGAGAGTCAAAGTGAAAAACAGAAGAAAAAAGGCTACACTAAAAGACAACCCACTCTGGCTGTGGTTTGGCATGAAACATGTGTGGAAAATCCCAGGAAACGCTAAAAACAACAGGGAGATGAGGTTAGTAGAAAGAGGCTGAGGGGAAATCCCAGCAGGAAGACACAGAATGAAAAGAGAGGAGAGGTCAGCTTGTCTTGTGTGTGCATGTAGATCAGAAACGTAAAAGAAGAAGAAGAAAGAATTAGCCTCTACTATGTACCATATTTACACTAGCTATATTTGTGCAAGCTGCTGTATGTGTGTAGATGCAGTGAAGTGCACGTGTGTGCGTGTCTGTACCTGAGCAGCGGAACTTCTTGCTCTTGATTTGCCCGATTCGTTTGTTGGCGAGCCGTCGAGGGCTGGTGCAGCGGGCGCCGCTCGTCTCGATGGGATTGTCCTGCAGGTAGTCTGCCAGCCACTTCAGATGGCAGTCACAGATAAAGGGGTTTTGCGCCAAGTGACTGCACAGAGACACACAGAACATACAAAACACATTCAGGTAAGCCGACGTGCTGTGAGTATATTTTTCTGAGGCTGGCCGTAATGGGAGCGTGTAATAGCACCACGTATGTGAACAGCAGCTCAAAGACTGACACTGGAACAGGGTTTACATCAAAAACCTGTATTTTATTCTTTAAATTAAAGGACCAGAACAAATACCTGGATTTATTTCTCTTAAAAATGATATGAGTCTGTATATTTATCACTTTGTTATAATAATAATTATTCTTCTGTTATATTCTGTTATAATCACTAACCGGTGATGAGAAACAGAGCAATAAGTGTCTACACAGGAGACTACAGTAAGAGCCAAAAAGATGTTCCTCAGTTGAATGTCTATTGAGTCTCTTGAAAGAAATAAAACTGAGAGCATGTTGCCTCCCTCCCATTTTGAAGCATTCATGTTGACTGACGGATTTATAAGAGAGGTTAGTTAAATTCTTAACGGTGGCAAAGAAACTGCTGTTGTACTGTACAGGCAAAAATGTATTTTTTAACAGTTGGTACGTTATTCCAAAAACGTAATTGATTTTTGTTTTTGTCGGCGGTTGTTCATTTATAAAGCTTGCCGGTTACTGCATTTCCTTATTTATCTCTACAAGTCTGGTGTGTGTGTGAGTGTGTGCATACGTACAGTGTTTGTATGGCTCTTAGAGATGAGAAAGTCCCCTTGGCGATGGTCTGGAGCTTGTTGTCATACAGTGATAGCAGATTGAGGTTGTGAAGGTCCTGAAACGCGTCCACGCGCAGGCATGCTATCTTATTAGCATTCAGTAACCTGAAGTGACAGAACAAAGGAGAGAGAGAGAGTGGGAGAAATGGAAATGAAGGCTCACCCCGTTATCGTTCTCTGACGAGTGTTTCAAATGGTGCAAGTCAGTGAAGATGGCTTTCAGTCATGATGCCTCAACTCTGATGACAATGTTTGAGGTAAGCACTTTTCCGCTGAATATCGATGAGATGCAAATGCGACTGATTTTGTGCTCGTCTGTGTGTTTCTACTCACAGTAGCTGCAGAGAGAACAGCCCCTCAAAGAGTCCTTTGGAGATCTCTGTGATTTTGTTCCCATATAGTACGCTGCAGAAAACAAATGCAACATTAATAACAGTCAACCTAGATCGTACAGGGAGTCAGACCTCTTGTCTTGTGTCTGTTTCCAGTGTTTTGGTTCTTTACTCAACCAAAATTGCAAAATTAATATTTTCTAAAGCGGTAATGTGGGAAAATATGAGTGCATTTGGTGTAAACTCGTGTAAAAAAGGAATACAGCTCCCATGATTTTTTGACAGTGTGCGTTGTGTTTTTATTGTAAATGCTGCTCATGGCAAAGATGGCTCTAATAGCTGAAGGTACTGGGAATGACTGACAACTACAAAATCACCTACTGAGCAATCTAAAGAAATCTTTGGTAAAACACGAAAAGTAGTTACATCTAAAAAAATGGAACTAAAAGTAACTTTGATCGTTGCCATTATTTGCAGTATCCCACAGCACTACTTTCCATTTATCTGGGTTCTAGCATTCGAACTATGGACCATTTGTGTATGAGGTGATATGTTAACCTTTGCCCAACAGAGCTGCTGGATGAGCATTTGTCTAAAAGCATAAAGAAAACATGAATTGACAAAATACTTCCGAAGACAGTGAAGAAAAGTTTCTGAAAACACTCGGCTGACAATGATCTTGAACAATATTTTGCACTTTTAATAATAATTAAACCCATTTTATTTCCTCAACACAAAAGTATTACCAGCAAAAAAAAGTTTAAAGTACTCAGCTGTTAAGAACCAAATACTAAAGAATTATGGTCATCAAAACGTCTTAGATTAAATCTGCACAAGTGACACAAACTAACTAGAATTCAGCAGAAATTACTAAGAGGGAAGGCATTTGGCTTTTTTACTCAAGAAAACACAGAAACACACAGGGGAAAAAAAAAGCTTCAATCACTTAATCTGACTTCGTACCTGGCTGTACATGATATATAACACATGACGATCACTTTTCATTCAAATATCATAAAAAATTAAGATAACGTCCATAAATCTGGCTGTGGTGTTATGTTAGGAATGCACACTGTTGTCAGAGAATAGCTTTTTTTAAAAATACGCCAAAAGTGCTACAGAAACAGGAGAAGGCTGAGACTGCCACTGCCTTGCCCCAACAAATACCTCAGATGCAATCACACACACACACACACACACACACACACACACACACACACACACACACAC